ATGTATCCCAGGAAAGAGACCGATGTCAAATGAAACTCACATTTCTCAGCCTTGGCATACAGTCTGTTTTCCAAGAGGCGTTGAAGGACAGCACGGACATGTGAATGATGCTCAGCCAAAGACTTAGAAAAAATAAGAATGTCATCTAAATAGACGAACACAAAACGGTCGAGGAAATCCCGCAGGACGTCATTTATTAGGGCCTGAAACACCGCTGGAGCGTTCGTTAAACCGAAAGGCATAACGAGATACTCGAAATGACCCAGGGGGGTGTTAAACGCGGTCTTCCACTCGTCTCCCTGACGGACTCGCACCAAATGATAAGCATTGCGAAGATCTAACTTAGTGAACACCGTGGCACCCTGTAGCGATTCAACAGCGGAGCTAATGAGTGGCAAGGGATACTTATTTTAACAGTGACGTCATTCAAGCCCCTGAAATCAATACACGGCCGAAGAGACCCATCCTTCTTGTCTACAAAAAAAAACCCCGCCGCCACGGGGGACGAAGACGGACGGATTAACCCAGCCGCTAATGAATCCCTAATATACTCCTCCATCGCAGCACGTTCAGGCCTAGAGATACTATATAACCGGCTCTTGGGCAGGGACGCTCCGGGGAGCAAATCAATCGCACAGTCATAAGGGCGATGGGGCGGTAGGGACTGCGCTTTGATCTTACTGAATACCTCCCGCAAATCATGATACTCAGGCGGCACCCCTGAGAGATCGGGGACATATTCGTCAGTCCCCGTAACCTCCCCCGGGCCGGGAAAACGGGCGGAAGTCAGACAATTGGAGTGGCAAAAAGGGCTCCAGCTGACAACCCTTTGCCCCTCCCAATCCAAGTGCGGATTGTGTAAGCACAGCCAGGGATAACCCAAAGTGAGCGGAGTATCAGGTGAATCGAGGACAAAAAAGGTGAGTTTTTCCCTATGATTCCCCGAAGTGCACAGTGACACTGGACCAGTGCGAAAAGAAATTCTAGTGAAAACCTGGTTATTAATCGCTCTAACTGGAATGGGCGGCTCAAGGCGCACGAGCGGAACGCCTAATCGTTCAGCGAGATCGAGACTGATTAAATTCTGTTCAGAACCAGAATCTAATAAGGCTGTGCACGAATGAGTACTCTGTAGCATCTCCAAGGTGACAGGGAGTTGTAAACGGGGTTTCTGACCAGAATTCGAACCGCCCACCCGTATCCCCGATTCTACCGGCGGGCGACACCTTTTCCCTCCTTCGGGCATGCAGCAATCAAGTGTTCCAGCGAGCCACAGTAAAAACAGGCATGAGCCCGACGCCGCCGCTCCCTCTCCTCCGGTGTCAACCGTGACCGGCCAATCTGCATAGGCTCCGGCTCGGGATCAGTGACGTAAGCCGAGGCGACAAACTCATGCGAGTCCACAGTCGGAGGCGGCGACGTACCCGGAAACGAGCGCGGTAAACGGCGCTGGGATTTGTAGTTCCTGTCCCTCTCCCTGTCACGCAACCTGTTGTCAATGCGAAGGGAGAGGGACGCCAGTTCCTCAAAAGATTTTGGCTCATCACGGGAGGCAAGCTGGTCTTTCATACCCTCGTTCAATGCCCGGAAAAACACCCCACGCAGAGCGTCGTCAGGCCAACCGGTTTCGGCGGCAGCAGTACGAAAATCAATCAAAAAATCAGCAACCCTCTGACGGCCCTGGCGAAGATCCAGCAGCCTCTGCGCAGAACTACCCTCAGAAATGGGGTGCGCAAACGTTTTCTGGAATTCCCCCAAAAACACCTCATAAGAACAGGTTAACAAAGGATTCTTTGATAGATACGCCTCCGCCCACTTAAGTGCACGATTACGCAGTTTACCCACCAAATAAGATATCTTATTAGAATCCGCAACAAATGTGCGTGGAGAACGACCGAAAACAAGGTCGACCTGAAGCAAAAACCCGCTACAACTCCCTGGATCCCCTGAAAATGGTTCGGGCTCCGGGGACGTAGCATCACGGAAAGCTGATGTAGGTGGAGATGCAACGGCAACAGGTTGAGGCCCGCGGGGCCCGAGGCGGAACCAGCAGCAGTAGAAATATCAGTTTGTAGAGCCTGGAGGGTCTCAAGTATTTTAGTTTGACCATCTCTAAGAGTCTGCTGCTGGGCTAACAGGAACTGAATAGATTGTTCATGACTTCCTAATATCGCCCCCTGCCTCTGAATGGCTGACCGTTCCGCGTCTGCTGAGTCCATAACTGCTGGCCAGATTCTACTGTTACGGCCGGGACCGTTTCAGACGAGTGACAGGACTCAAACGCAAGACGCCGAACAGCTCGAAAATATATTTTAAGAATAATGTTTAATGTGCACACAAAATATTCATAAACAAAAGGTGAGCGTAGACGTTAACTAAATAATGATCTGGTCCGGGTCCGGGGATTGGACTGGAAAGCAAGTCACAAAAGGTCCAGGAAAAGGTCGGGGTCACTGTAACAGAATGCAAATGTTCAAAACATAGATAAGGAGGCATATGAATATGTTGTTTGGCTCAAAATCCTCCTTCGTACTGTGTACTTGCCAACGGAGGTCGGAGATGACATAGAGGGAGAGTAATCCGGGTGTGTAAATCCAAAAACTCCTGGCGTGGAGGCAGAGAGGCAGGTAGGTAGTTTTGGTGGTAGCCTGAGGGACTGCCAGAAGGTCCAGCATCCAAGTAGAAGCTCTTCGCCAGGGGTTTAACAGTTAGGTGTAGCTGAAAAAGGGAGGCGCACAAAAAACAAACATACAGTGAAGCAAAGGTGATTCACAAAAAAACACGTAAGGAAATTATGGTGGTGGCCTGCACTGACTGATGTTTAGCAGAGAATCTGGCGAAGAGAGATTGAGAACGCTGGCCTTATGAGTCCCCCGGCTAATTACCCACAGATGTCAACGATCAGCAAAAACACTGAGGCCCCTCCCAGGGGTGGAGACGCCGGCTCGGAGGGAGACACACTGGCACACACCCGGACCATGACACCTGTAGCTGTGGTTGTTGTTGGAACAGCTGTGGTTGTTGTCGCTGCAGCTGTGGTTGTTGTTGGAGCAGCTGTAGTTGTTGTCGCTGTAGCTGTGGTTGTTGTTGGAACAGCTGTGGTTGTTGTCGCTGCAGATCTGGTTGTTGTCGCTGCAGTTGTGGTTGTTGTTGGAGCAGTTGTGGTTGTTGTTGGAGCAGCTGTGGTTGTTGTCGCTGCAGATGTGGTTGTTGTCCCTGCAGATGTGGTTGTTGTCGCTGCAGATGTGGTTGTTGTCGCTGCGTTGCAGCAGGCTGTGTAGAGAATCTTACATCATTTTCATATTTCACATTAACCACATCTTTATGAATAGGAAATTCTTTGACAAATTAATTTTTTTCCTACCAACAACAAGAAGAACGATGACAAACATCTTTGCGATCATGGTGATGCTGTTTTTCTGCTCCTGTCTCTGAAAATAAAAATTCACTGTGGTTATTATGATTTAAAGAAAGCATTATTCCTACAATTGCCTTAATTAAGCTTTCTAAAGTTATCTTGAAAAGAAGTTTGAGATCTAAAACTCATAATATAAAAAAGTTCCTATTCAATTACATAATTTAAAATATAGATTTTTTTCTATAGTACTGTCTTTGTGATAGTCCACATCTCTCAACGAGGTGCTTGTACACGCAAAAGCAACAAGAAGAAATTAAGAAATCATGAAGGAAAGGCTCTGACTATCATGACCTCATTGTTCCTGACTGTAAATCAGAGCAAAAGTCACCACTTCATGTTTATAGTGTTAATCAACTCCAATATTGACATATAATCACTCACCCATTAAATCTATCTATCTATCTATCTATCTATCTATCTATCTATCTATCTATCTATCTATCTATCTATCTATCTATCTATCTATCTATCTATCTATCTATCTATCTATCTATCTATCTAGCTGTGTGTGTGTGTGAATGTGTCATATATTATTTATCAAGGGTAATAGCAAAAAACAAAACAAAAACAGAAGCATAAAAAAACCTTCAGAACTTTAAGATAAACACAACACAACAAATTGCTGCCTAAATTACACCATATGTTGCCAAAAGATCATTTCCAGAAATAAATCTATCAATTCATCTTAAATTCACATGTAGATGTCAGATATATATTTAATATTAGGGTTACTTACATAGTATTTCTTTGCTTGTAAGTCGTCCACTGCAGTGAAAGAAAGTGATGTTCTCTGACTTCATCTCCTCTTTTTATAATCAGCCAACATGAACCTGAGGACAAATATGTGCAGGTGGAGTAATGGTAGTTATCGTCATGGTTTAAGGTGTGTGCACTAAACTTTTATTTACCTGCATCTCTCTCCTATTGTCCTCCTGAAACAGTCATCACTTTAATTTTAGCACTTACACACACACAGACACACACACACACACACATATTTGTGACATGTTTTGACGTGAGCTTCGACATTTTCTCTGTGTGACTATGACTACATTTATGTGATTGTATCTTTATGGCTACATTAGGACTCTATGTGGTCCATAAAAGATGACCATTTTGGATAATAAAATCTGACAGAAGAAAACAAATATTCGGTGATTAGTTTTGGATTAACTAAATCTCACAACTGGCTGACTAGATTTAGACGGAGAATCAACATTTACAGGTTGGTGGTGCTCGGTGGGCAGTCAGCGTCCACATCAAAATAACTCTGATTTCTCTCTTTTTTGTCTTTTCTTTTACACACATTCTAAATATTTCTGGTTCATTTACTTGAAATGAAGAAGTTTTCATCAATGGAAATAAGAAGTCAGTTTTAAAGGCATTCTTGCGAGTTGGGAGCTTGCTTTCATTTTCTTCTTGCAACACTTAATGCAGGAAGTCATTCATCAGTTATCAGAGACACAAGGTGAGACCCGACTAAAAGACACTTACACACTTGTGCTGTAATAAATTGAATATAGCCACCGAGTACCGCTGGCCATGATTAAAAATGCAGGTTTAATGCATTTCAGCATTATGTTCACTTTTCAGACCTGACTGGGTTCATCTTTTGCACCTTCAAATCTTCAAATATACACAGGTATCAAAAAGTGAGAGTAAAGGATGCTTACAGTCTTTAAAGGTGTAAACTTTTATTTCTTTGAGCCTAAAACAACACCAGTGTGAATCAGTCACTTTATGTAAATAGTTTATTTGTAAAGACTTTAGATATACACATCCTTCATTGATCGCACGAGGGTTTATTTTTTTCTGTAACAGCAGCATGATAAAGAGTAAAAAAAGTGCAGCTGCAATAAACCACATATTAGCAATGCAGTTAAAATAATAGTACCACAGATGCCCAGTAAGTGTCTTATACTGTAACACAGGTCAGGGATTTATATATATATATATATATATATATACACAACATATTTCTGCTTTGTTGAACTTGTTTTATGAATCTTGCTGATCTGGTGCAACTCTGGAAATTAATTGATGCAGATTTGTTCATTAATTTATTCTGAAGTTATTCCAACACATGGATTTTCTTTTAGTTCTTTGGAGATATGCATATGAACAGCAGCACACACAGCAGTTTATAAAATATAGCTGAGCAGGTTTGATCCCGGCCTTTCTCTGTCGCACAATCAGTCATAAGAGGTGTGGTTATTGAAGCTGCTTCTAGTTGCATAAACTTGCAGCCACACCTCATAGTTTAGTCTCCTGTGCGTTAACAGATGTTGAGAATTAACATTCATTGTTTCTGTACTGAGGTCCAAAAACAGCTTAAAGCATTTCCCAGCATGTACTTGAGATGGTTGAGCCTTCACTGAGGAATGCCACATATCCGTCAAACAGGAGACAACACGTCACACGAAAACCTGTCCTGTGTGACCTTCAGTTCTGTGATGATGCATTTCTATGTTGTGATACAACATGATGTAGGAAAATGGAGATTCTGTTAGGCAACAACACAACAAAACTAATATCACAACACACACGTATGTACATTATGAACTGGAAAAAGTCCCTAGATCTTCAACTGAGGCATCTACAACACAAATAATAACACGTCTTGACCCACATCCGGTCTGTCTCTGGGGCTCCTGAGTGCCCGTTGGGCCACAAGGGGGTGAGGGAGGATGGGGTGCAGTTGATACAGTTTGGGTGGATGTTTGCAGTGACTTATCTCAAACTTACACCAGCCTGGGATCTGTGTGTAGTCTTGGGAAGTCCAACAGGTAGCCAGGGAGTGCTCCACTCTCCCTGTGGTAGGATTTAGGAAATAGGGGTGCTTACTAGCGCTCTCTTTCTGAGGGTAGTCCTCTACCTCCTGGCCATCCCATGCCTTCTCCTCTCGAGGCTTCCTGTGACAACACATTATTCACACAGGCAGGGTCTTGGGGGGGGGGGTGCCTTTATATGGCACCTTACAGCATATATAACTTGTATACAAATGTATATAGCTGTGTGTCTTTTATCTTTTATTCTAAAGTAATTTTAATGTAAAGAATCTACATACTGCTAATGGAGAGATGCCAAACTGCCTTTCATTGTTGTTGTAACAGTGACAATAAAGATCTATCTTTTCTATCTGATTTTATCTTAGCTGGCTGTGCTGTGCGGCCATTTGTTGCTCCTTTTTAATTACGCTATAGCCATTACATCTCTTGACATAGCAACATACACGTAGGATCTTGGGGGCAGGTGCGTTACCCAGGATAGGCGGGGATATTGTCCCTGCTGCTCGCTGCTGGTTGTTGTTTCATTTGTTATTTAAGATATCTCAGGGATAAAATGTGTTGTCAAACTTCTGTGCACTAACAGAAAGGAGAGTTTCACTGGTCTGGCCCACATAGACTCAAAATGAGGTGAGTGTGTTTGGAGATGTAAAATGAGTTTGACCTCGCTGCCGTAAACCCAACAACAAGTCAATGTTTGGGTCAAGTGTAATTTTGGTGGTGTTTTCACTATAGTCAAACCTTGTATTCTAATGAACTGCTAGAGACTGAATTGGAGTAGCATGATCTTTGGTGACTTCTTGATGTTAATGCTCAGAGCTTTTCAGTTTTCATGAAAAGTCTTGATTCTTTGCTGGTAGCATTAAATAAGCAACAGGCGATGTACGTGAGATTTCTGTTGTGGATTTCAAAGGACACACAACTACATGACATATCAGACGATGTCTTCCCGGGACAGGAAGTGACCACCAGCCTACTTCAACTGCAGCACACTTCAACGTGCGCTGATGTGCAAGTTCCCCATCATCACTGCTGGCAGCTTTAATTTATTTTACTTTTCAAATGAACTCTACCTTACGTGACTTTAATCTTCAGGACAGGTCGTCATGTTGAGCCTTGTATTGTCTGTGTGACATTGTGAACACACCTCACACACTAGAACAGCCGTTATTAAATCCATATATAAAGACTGAATGGATGCTGGAGTGGATACTAATTGTCATGGTTCTGGGTCAGTTTTGACACAGTATTTTGAGATGTTTTGGTTTGATTTTGTATTATGGATTATTTTCTGATTCTCTTGTTGTGCTTTGTTGATTATTATTACAATTCTATGTTTCAGGTCATTCTGGTTGAGGGGTCAGTTCTTAGGTTCAGTTTCGATGCCCTCATTTTTCTGCATGTTTAGTTCAGTGTCTAGTCTGCGTCTTTGTGTTGTTATTTCCTGTTTCCTGTTTTATTGTGAAGGTCCGTGTTTTATGTGAGCGTATTCAGTTTTGCCTCCCTTGTCTCATCTCGTCAATTACTTCCAGCTGTGTTCCCCACCTGTGTGTAATCTCCTTGTGTTCTTCTGTGTGTATTTAAGTCATGTCTTCTTATGTTGTAGTCGCTGGTCTGTCTGTGAATCTACCGTGTTTCATCCACGTGTTCTCCCTGCTGTCTCCCGTCATATGCCTCTGCTCAACCTCCTCCATGTTCGTGTTCATGTCTAGTAGTTTAGTTTTCCCAGTTCAGATTATCTTTAGTTCCGTTTGCCGTTTTCCACTTGTGTTTTATTTTTTACAATAAACGTCCTTCGCACCTCCACGAGTGCCTACAATTGGATCCTCCTTTATTTTTCTCCACACGGCTCATCCCATTTGCCGTGACAGTATTGACCCGCCAGGTTATGGATCCAGCGGCATTCGCCCCACAGAAGGAGCTTCGGGAGCTCATAATCGACTCTGCTTCAAGGTTGAAATTTCCCACTCGTGGGACTAATAAAGGCATCTCATCTCGTCTCATCTCATCTTCCAAATACTGCAGGGTCTTTAATTTACAACAGGAAACATGATGAAATAACTATTGTGATTTGCAGAAATATAAACAAAGCTGAATATAACTCAGTATTAACACTGACTATTGTAGAGAAATGATTATTATGAGAAATTATTCTCATCTTAAAAAGTCAGGAGACACTTATTAATCAGTGCAAAAAGACTTTATTTATGATAAGCTCAGTGTTGAGATTGTAGACATCACTATATTTTTAATATCAGTCCTCTGATCACACAAGTTTGGAACACACAAACATCAGGAAAACATTTAACAACTTCTCTCTGATAGATATAAATAAATAAATAAAACCATAATAAATAAGAATAAATACATGATTAAACATTGGGTTACTTAAACATTTCAAATCGTCACAGGTACTTCAGTTTGTTGCTTCATTTGGAGGATGTGAACTTAAGAAATGTTAAAAACATGATCTGAGTACATGTGACGACAGAGCCAGAACTACTGTAAGGAAGCTGATGTTGTTGAGAATAGCAGAGGAGGTGGTTGTTGCTGTCGCTGCAGTTATGGTTGTTGAAGCAGCTGTAGTTGTTGTCGCTGCAGTTGTGATTGTTGCTGCTGCTGTTGTTGTTGTTGTTGCTGCGGTTGTGGTTGTTGTTGAAGCAGCTGCAGTTGTTGTCGCGGCAGTTGTGATTGTTGTTGGAACAGCTGTGGTTGTTGTCGCTGCAGTTGTGATTGTTGTTGGAACAGCTGTGGTTGTTGTCGCTGCAGTTGTGGTTGTTGTTGGAGCAGCTGTGGTTGTTGTCGCTGCAGTTGTGGTTGTTGTTGGAGCAGCTGTGGTTGTTGTCGCTGCAGTTGTGATTGTTGTTGGAACAGCTGTAGTTGTTGTCGCTGCAGTTGTGATTATTGTTGGAACAGCTGTGGTTGTTGGAGCAGCTGTGGTTGTTGTCACTGCAACTGTGGTTGTTGTTGGAGCAGATGTGGTTGTTGTCGCTGCAACTGTGGTTGTTGTTGGAGCAGATGTGGTTGTTGTCGCTACAACTGTGGTTGTTGTTGGAGCAGCTGTGGTTGTTGTCCCTGCAGCTGTGGTTGGTGTTGGAGCAGCTGTGGTTGTTGTTGGAGCAGATGTGGTTGTTGTCGCTACAACTGTGGTTGTTGTTGGAACAGCTGTGGTTGTTGTCCTGCAGCTGTGGTTGTTGTTGGAGCAGCTGTGGTTGTTGTTGGAGCAGCTGTAGTTGTTGTTCGAGCAGATGTGGTTGTTGTCGCTACAACTGTGGTTGTTGTTGGAGCAGCTGTGGTTGTTGTCCCTGCAGCTGTGGTTGTTGTTGGAGCAGCTGTGGTTGTTGTCCCTGCAGCTGTGGTTGTTGTCGCTGCAGATGTGGTTGTTGTCGCTGCAGTTGTGGTTGTTGTTGGAGCAGTTGTGGTTGTTGTTGGAGCAGCTGTGGTTGTTGTCGCTGCAGCTGTGGTTGTTGTTGGAGCAGCTGTAGTTGTTGTCCCTGTAGCTGTGGTTGTTGTTGGAGCAGCTGTAGTTGTTGTCCCTGTAGCTGTGGTTGTTGTTGGAACAGCTGTGGTTGTTGTCGCTGCAGCTGTGGTTGTTGTTGGAGCAGCTGTGGTTGTTGTCCCTGCAGCTGTGGTTGTTGTCGCTGCAGATGTGGTTGTTGTCGCTGCAGTTGTGGTTGTTGTTGGAGCAGTTGTGGTTGTTGTTGGAGCAGCTGTGGTTGTTGTCGCTGCAGCTGTGGTTGTTGTTGGAGCAGCTGTGGTTGTTGTCCCTGCAGCTGTGGTTGTTGTCGCTGTAGCTGTGGTTGTTGTCGCTGCAGATCTGGTTGTTGTCGCTGCAGTTGT